CTCTCTCTCTCTCTCTCTCTCTCTCTCTCTCTCTCTCTCTCTCTCTCTCTCCTTTCCTTTCTTTGCTACACTAACATTCGGTCTCACGTGCCCCGCTCCTCCACCGTCCCCCCTTCCCCTCCTCTTCCCATCCCCTTTTGTGTCCTTCCCCCTCCCTCCTCCCCTCTCCTCTCCCTCTCCTCTCCCTCTCCTCTCCCTCTCATGTCCCTCCTCCCTGGCTTCTGTCTGTCTGTCTGTCTATCCCTCCCTCCATCCTTGACCCTCTCAGTGATTGTCCTTGATTCAGAGAGTGACGAGGAAGAGGTCCAGCAGCCGGACCGTGCGGAGCTGACCATGATGCTGCACACGCTGAGTGCCAAGCTGGAGGACCTGCACACGTGCAACGACCTGATCGCGCGCCATGGCCTGGCCCTCACCAAGACCCTGTCAGAGCTGGAGTCGGCCCACTCGGCCGCAGAGGCGGCGGCCAACCTCAAGCCCGTGCAGGAGCGGGCCACCCTCTTCCGGATCACTTCCAATGCCATGATCAATGTGAGTCAGCTCACAAAGGGTGAAAAAAATTTTTTTTGGTCTCATGTCTCGGTTTTGGTGTCCATATTTGTGAGTTACGTAAAAATGTGCCAACATGGTACATATTGTTAAGCTTCAAGAAAAACAAAACAAGAAAAAGGGAACGTGATGATGAAGATTTTGTTTGGATTGTTTCTTAATGGGCCTGGTGGACTCCATGAAGAAATCTTCGAGCGAGAGTGAGGCTCTTTTTCTGCTCCATTGTCATTGTCCTCAGAGGCACCTCCGCTCGTCCAATCGAGTTGCCACTGTTCCTAGACATTCAAACGCATGTTTGACACCCTCCTTTTCATGGTTGCATCTTCGGCAATGTGGTTTGAGCTCTTCATTCCTGAAGTTCTGATAGCATCTCATGCTCCAATGATGGTCTGACCGCATTCTCGCTAGCTCAACCTGGTCCCAGCAACATGTGATTGATTGTTCCTGCTTATGGCAGTTATTGTAGCAATTTACTGCCGGGCACAGAATACGAAAAACTCAGTATCGTGGATAACTTGTACCATTTGCCATTTCTGACTGATATCGCTTTGATTTTTTGCTATACCGTTTACCCCATTGACAGTTCTTGATGTGTTTGAGTAATTTGTACTGGATTTCTTATTTGTAGCTCTTCGCGGCAGGTAATCAGAGGGCCACTCTGGTATGCCCTACTCCTTTTTTTCTCCTTTTTTTTTTCTGTCTGTCTTTCTTTTTCCTTACACTAGCTTCCATTTTTCATTTGGTGTTCTTTTCTTTCATTATTCGAACAAAATAAATCCCATCATGAATCCCACGGGTTTTTCACATCAGCCACCTCTAATAATGATTAAGTAGATCATTTTTATGACACCTACTCATATGTGCACACAGCTCTAGGTGCTTTACATTAATCCAATTGCAAAAAAACACCTGGACTTTCCCCTCGACGGGATGGGAGGTTGGAGGGAACCACTGATAGGTCCTACATCTTTACTTTCCCTGTGTTGTTTCTGTCTGTCTGTCTTACCTTTTCCCAGCACTAAATGACCATTATTGTGTCGAAGTGCTTGCTTCTCTTTACTCAAAAAATAAAACCAATCCTCTCAACAGGCCTGCAACGAATTCTACGAGCTGTCCCAGAGTCAAGGTCGCCGGTGGCAGCGCACGATCCAGCACGAGCACGAGCGCCGACTGAAGTACGAGGAGATGGTGGAGCAGCTGGCCAAGAACGTGGTCTCGCTGGAGAACAAGGCGCGCATGTCTCTCTCTGGCCACCCTGTGCGCGGCTCTGGTGAGTTTTTTTTCTTATTTCTAACCTCCCACCCACACCTCGCCTTTCGTTACTTCCCCGTTCTTTTCCCATTTTTCATTTATGTGATTATGGCATCTGTGGTTTTAGCGGCTGGAATCTTTGTTGTTGCACATAGAAAATATGAGTTCTATTGTTGAGAGAGGAGTCTTTTCAATGGGTATCTCCCCCTTCATTATTCATGTCTCATTTGTGGGTGATTGGCGTGTGCTCTGGTGTGGTTTGCTCGTTCTTTCCTATCAAACGTCTATCGCCCTTATCTCTCCTCCTTCTTTTTTGTGTATGTTAGTTTCTTGTAATACATAATCTATTCCTCGGCACTTAAATGACCTTATTGTGTTGCAAGTGCTGTAATACTCTTACTAAAACTAAAAACATTTTGCTTTCGAGTATTTCCTTCAGAGAGTGGAGTCTTTTTAATGAGTATCTCCATTTTTCTGCCTCGCTTTGGTCCTTCACAGACAGGATCAGATCAGCCCAGCTTCTGCAATATCGACTGTGTCGATGGAGCATAAAACAGTTACTGTAAAAGTTACCAATTTTCGTCTGTTTTCACTTTTGTTTATCTACACTGAGGAAGTGGGGAGGTTCTCTCCCTCTGCCCTTTTTTTCCTTTGGCCTTGCTCTTTTGTAGGTCTAAAGGATTCGGGACTTTTACTGTGTGAGTGTGCTTCTGTTCAACTCAGAGAGACTATGTTTATGTGATATTTGTTGACAATGTGTGTATGCATTTTGGCAATATTGTAGGTCCATTTTCATGCCCTGAAACTCGAGCCTCAGTCTTGTTTTTGGGGCACCCTTTGTGAATCTAACTTCTTTCTACTCTCCTACTGTAGTTTTTTGCTACAGTTGTCTTATTAATAATTTATTTTTCCCCAGCATTAAAGGTATACAGTTTCGCACTTTTCCCCCCCTGTCTTCAGATTTGTTCAGGGCAAATTTCAACTTCAGCCCACCCGCCATTCTTTAAATATGTTAGGCCTACAATCATCTTTCATGTAGAACCTCCCAACTATGCCTCCCTTCCCCCCGAAAAAAAGCAACAACCCCAAAACAACGACAAACAAACAACCAAAAACAAATAGAGAGCCTGGATGTTTGCAGTAGGTCAGCTACATTCAGAATGGAGGGTTAAAGTGGACCTTTACCTCTGTTCAGTGATTGTGTCAATGTGCTTTTCTATCGCCTGAACAAACAAGTACATAGAAACATGTGCATGTTCTTGTTAAATATTTTACAATCATCTTTCATGCTTAACGACCCAACTATGGACCCTCCCTCACAAACAAGTCCACAGAAACATGTGGATAAAGCTTCCTAGTTATAAAGCTCGGTAGCGTGTGGCGATGAGCAGTGCTCCAAGTCTTGCATGTTCTTTTTTTTTGCCGGGAAATAGGGCCGTAGAACCCCTGATAATTGAAATCTTCCCACCATTAGATATTGCTGCATTATTTGCAATAGTTTATTGGTTATGTAAGAATTTTATGGTGGCGGTTTATAATGCAATTCTCGAACTAAAATGTCTTACTTTTCTCACCATTTCTGGTTGATTTAACGTTGCTTTGAAGAAGGCACTTACAGTGTCGGTTGAACTTGGTTTTTCCTGGTGCTTAAATATTCTGCTCTGTTCCCACCCACCTCCCGAATGACAGTACTTCAACAAGGAAATAGTATGGCGATAATCGCATTCACCCTTTTTGTGAAAAGGGGGTGGGGGATGAGAGAGAGAGAGACTGAGAGAGAAAGAGTGAGAGAGAAAAAGAGAGAAAGACAGAAAGAGGGAGAGAGAGAGAGAGAGAGAGAGAGAGAGA